ACATATTTTATATTTTTTATTTATTTTATTTTTATAATTTTTATAAATTTTTTTATTATGATTTAAACTGTGTTGCTTAAACGGACAGTTATACTGTGCTAGTAATGCTAGCCTGTATGTTAGTGCTTTGTGTAGTGTAACGAAGTGTTATTACCCCTGCCTGGAGAAGTAGAGGTTGTTCTGAACACGCTCTAAGACACGCGTGTGTTAAGGAGTGTGTGTCTGCTCAAAATGTGAATTTAGTAGCCCCTACTAGTGGTGCGATACTGGTGTGAGTAAGCGATCTGATTCAGATGATACTGCAGGCATGCAAGGGAAGCTGATTATACTGATACTTGGGTCACCTATGGCGTCAATTCCTGCTAGGACACATTCATGGCTTTAAATAAAATATATATATATATATATATATATATATATATATTATTTTTATTTTATTTTTAATTTTTTTAATTTTTTTAACTAATTATTAAAAAACTACACCACTTACTTGGGAGGCAGGCTGAGGGGAGAGCGTGGCTTCAGTTTGTCCTCGTCTTTCTTTTCCCTGGCGTCTCGAGGAGGACGCATCCTCGGCCTCTCCTTCTCATCCCGCTTCATCCGGTCCCTCTCCCACTCTTCTTTCCGCCGCATCCTCTCCTTCTCACGCTCGCGCTCTCTCTCCTTCTCCCTCTCTCTCTGCCGGCGCTCCCTCTCGCGGTGATCTCTCTCCCTCTCTCTGTCCCGGTGGCGTTCCCGAGGGTCGCGGTCGCGTTCACGCTCCTGTTGAGATGGATATGTGTAGTTTTCTAGCCATAAAGAATTACTCTGGTGATGCCTAGACAGCACTGACATCTGTGTTGTGATCTGGTCTGTTGGACACCATTCATATAGGAATCAGCATCAGTTTGGATACAGTCCAGATGTATGACTTCAGTAGCTCTTTGAACTACATGGAATTAAAGACCTAACACTACCTGTGTTGGTGCCTTGCTGACAACTTGCTGAAAAGCTCTTTTAAAGGAAAAAATATATAACTGTTCTCATGTCTTTGTGCCATTCAAGTGTTGCCCTCTGCTTGGACACTTTACTTTAGGTGGTTGAAGGACTCACTTCTGTGATGAAAACCTTAGAGAGAAGTATTTGAGCAGACTGTGCAGGATACTCACATTGTAGTGGTAAGGAAGAGGAGCTTCTGTGTACTGCACTCTGAAGTTTTCATACTGGCCACCTCGCCATAGGGCCTCCATTTCATAGTCATAGTATGGATCAGCATATGGGTCACTGCAGAGGGAGACACATTTGAGGAATTGTACAAAACCTCAAACCTCAACCTCAAAGGTTACCAAGATGTTCATTAAGCAACAATGTTGGTTAATTTAGTGTTTTGTAACTGTAAAATATCATGTCTTATAGCAGACTGATACTGAATTGTGTACAATTCCTTTTCAGTTTTCCTAGTTCAGTTGAAATTAAAAGTCATGAAATGGCAATTAATTATGAATGCGTCAGACTTTTTAAAAGGAACGTACATGACTTTTTTTTTATTTGTTTGCCCACATCATATCAGAGTCGGAACACTATAAAAAGGGACCTTATACACCATTGTTGTTGCAACAATGTTTTCATCTCTGACAAGAGACCTGGACAAAAAAGCTGTGTATAAATCATTATAGGTCTTCCAACCATGACATAAATATGGAGGAGGGTTCTATTCAACACTTGCTACAAAAACATCTCCCTTGGGATACACAGGTAACATTTAGATCTGTCTACACATTATTGCCTAGTAAAGATTCAGGCTCTGACGGGGAACAGAACACTGACAAAGTGAGGTATTAACAGTTAGTCTACACTTACCCATATATAGGATCTCTGAAGTCCATTTCACTGAAAGAGAAAAACAGATTAGAATCAATTACAATAACAACGAATCGTATAATATTTAATATACGCAGGACAAGGAGAGGCAGACTGCGTTTACATTAATGGTGCTTGGTGCTCAAACGTATACCGTTTCCCAAATGTCAAACTTTGTATGGGAAGATGAAACCATATTATCATCGCCATCTTGTTATTGCTGTTTATATTCCAACACATGCATATTCAAAAAGTGCATTGCACAAATATTTCCTGGGTGTATATGTGTACCATATGTAAATGTTAGGGCTGTCACTTTTATTCAAAATTTGAAAATTAATTCGAACACAGTTCACTTTTAAAGTGTAATGACCTATTTCGAATTCAAAAGCACAACAGGTTGTTTGAAGTAGTTTGCCTTGTGATCCAGCAGAGGGCACTCCATTATTAGATTGACCTATGGCATGCCCTATTGACCCTTCAGTAGCTAGTAATGTTATGTTGTTTACTATGAGAATGGAATGTAAAATGAAGGACACTAGCAAGTAAAGCCATCCTGAGTGGAAAATCATGACACGAGAGCACGTGAGAAGCTTCTGTCGGCTTTGAACAAACCAGCTGATGACTCTACAACCACAACAAACTTGCAGACTCACTGGCAAACATTAGTCTGCCACCCAAGTGAGACAGCAGAGTGGAGGCACCACAGACGAGTGGCAAAACTTCTAGTGTACAACCTCGTCAGACTGCTATTATTTGGCACATTCAGCTTCAGCAGGCCCCTCATCAGAAGCATGTAAAACTGCCATCACAGAGCAGAGCGCATTTATGTGATTTATATGCAAAGATGAACGGATATGTGGCCCACTGATGTGGTAAGAGCCAATGTCTTGTCCAATAGTAGTCTTTATGTTTTTTTTTATTCATTTAAATGAATTGCATGCAATTTTGAAATTCGCTCAAACATGATTTTTGAGAAGAAGTGACAACACTAGTATATATATGTATAAACAGATGCATAATTATTATGTTTGATTATGTTATTCTAATATAAATAGAATTTTTTAAAAGGTCATGGAGGGAAGCACACTCTAAGGATCAGAGGTTATGTGTGAGGCTGCTGCTTTGCATCAGTGACACTGTGTCTTATGAGTCTTATTTTCAACTGACAATACAATGTGTTCAATGGCAGCAGATCATACTCTCTGATGATGCGGTAGCTGCGCTCCCTGAAGAAATCATTCTCTTTGTCAAATTCTCTCTCGTCCTCTCCGATGGTCACATTGAAACGCTTCTCCTCAAAGTCTGGCTCTTGCTCCTTACGGATGGTTGCCTTCTTCAGCACCTATGGGACACACAACAATTTGTTTAAAACACTGATATAAATGGCAGCAAACATGCACCACAGAAACGTGAACTCACGTGGAGAGAGATAAGGCAATGTCCAACCATTTTTGGATGTTGCACTCACTGCTGCTGACAGAAAAACTGTATTGGTTCTACATCCCTATTGCTTTGTAGTTGTACAGCATGATCAATACACATTTTTCACGAAAATACATTTCAGAGAGACTGAAAAATACAGCTTTATACAACATAATAATAATAATCCAATCAACTTTTAAGACCTGTCAAAATCATATTTAAGACATTTTAAAGAGATAAATGATTGGATTTTAGACTTTTTAAGACCCCAGACACATGAATTAATGAGGGTAGGCTAAAATAACATACCTCTCTGTATAATGCAATACAGTTCAACAGAACCACAAACTACATCCAAAAAGACAAAAAGCAACATTTTCCAAACTGGTGACAGGAACGGGTAGTAATAAAGTAATAATAATACAGTAGTGGTAATAAAACTGTAAACACTCCGACTGATAAGATCTTCTGTTTGTGTCATTCTACAGTTGCAGGTACTTTACACACTCGACAGCATGACAACCATTTCAGTTGGCTTAATTTTGTTTCTGTGAGAGGCAGTGGAGGTGTTTACCTCTTTGGCATGCCTCAGACCCCGCTCCCAGGCACTCTCCACAGGAGGCTCCACTGGAGGAGGGGGTGGGGGAAGCTCTTCCACTGCAGGTCCGGCCTAAAACAAGAACAAATTAATTCACACTTTCTCTACGTTTGCACACATTTTGTACTCTGATCCTTTCTTCTGTCCTTATGATTTATCAGCGTTTAGGTACTGTAACAATGTTACAGACGTCTGTGTACAATTTCTTCAAAAGCAGATATTATACCATGTTTTTACTTTAAAATTCAATTCAATTCAATTTTATTTGTATAGCGCCAATTCATAACAGAAGTTATCTCAGGAAACTT